ATCGGACCAATCTACGAGGTGTGAGAATTTTTCCTGTAAACTGTGTTTTGACCGATATAATACACCCTATCAACCCCCCCTAAATAGGTATTGGGTAGTAGATTAGTGGAAAAGTCTTATAATTGAGGTGGCAACTAAAATATAAAATTTAATTTTCAAATTTTATAGAATTGCGGAAAATTTGAAAAATCGCGAGCAGGCCCCTTAATGACAATTAATACAATTTATTCTATACATGAAAAAATATTCAATAAATGTCAATATGTTTTGAGCTGTTTACGGACATTTTCAGTTTCAAATTTTTTTAGTTTTTTTTTTTTCTATGAATGTCAATAAAATATTATATTTTGTTGGGTGAAAAAGATTGAAAATTTAATATGAGACTCCAAATACATTGTTACAATAGTAGTTTATAAAATACAGTCACAATTGTTTTTTATAAGTATTTGAAGTTCAAATTTTGACAAAATTTATAAAATATTTAACTTTGATAGTTTGATAGCTAAGGTTTGTAAATTTAAAACAAGGTTTCATGTAAATAGGTTATAATATTAAAATTACATACTTACATTTCATATATGTCACTTTTTTTTTGTACATTTTTTTTATTATCTAACTACCTAAGTTACATGCAGTAAATTTTTTTTTTTTTGAACACGTTTATTTTGAAATAAATAAATTATTAAATCTGATGAGATGAAACATCACAATAGACCAGAACAACCCAGAAAGAGGCAATTTATTATTTAAAGTGTAATTATTAAAATTTGAAAACATAATTTTACATTTTTTTTTTTATTACCTAATTACATAAGTTACATAATGTTATTTTTTTTTTTTGAACACTTTAATTTTGAAATTAAGAAATAATTAAATCTGTAAACATACATACCTTAATATATTCTTGAAGTGACTCACTTATTGCATCACATACTTCTGCAATTATTCCAAATATTGTTCTCTTTGAAATTCTGAAGAGATACTGCAGGCTTGTAAATGAATCACCTGTGGCAAGGAATCTCATTGTAAGAGCCAACCTTTCTCTTGCAGAGATATTGCTTCTCTCATGTTGGTATCCATTCTTGTGATTTTGGGACAAACCAGTGAAGCAAGATATTCAAAATCCTCCAATGTCATACGAGTAAAATTTTTAATTATGTCATCAACAAGTTCGACTTGCATATCTTTCATAAGTCGTTTCCCATACTGCAACCGTTGATGAAACAAATTTCTGCACCACCAACGTTGTTTGCTTTGCATTTTTTCTTTTTTTTTTTTTAAATTGTATTGCAATAATAGCAAACGACGCAGCTGCAACTGGAGGTACGGTATCATCCCATTTCGCCGAATCCTATTTCGCCGAATCCTACTTTACCGACAAAAAAAAACAGTTGTATACGGATTAATATAAAATCCCATTTGGCCGAATGCTATTTTTTCGAATCCCATTTTGCCGAAAAATTTAAAATAAAATTAAAATAAAATTGTATTTGTTAGGTCATAAAGACTAAAAAATTAATACAAGGTTCCTAATATATTGTGACAAAAAGTGGTTAAATAAGTTTTTAAATAAGAATAAGAAAATAAGAATTAAAAAACCAGCAGCAAAATTTTGAACTTGATATTATTACTCAAAAAAAATGTAACCAAGCTCCGAAAATGAGGAAAAAGTACAAAACTTTAGAAGACCGATTAAAAACGGGAAAAGAGCGGTAAATACTAAATAATTAACTACATAATTATTATAATATTATATTAATACCTCAAATGTATGTTTAATTCAGATTTGGAAATGGACAAATATCTATTATGGAATATCTAGATGCGATTATTTACCACTTCCATCTTGAATAAAATTATAAATATAAATATAATTTTTTTTATACATTTTTGACAATTAATGTTTTTATATATTTTTACTAAATATTAATTATTTTTACTAATTTCTACTATACATTTTTGACAATTAATGTTTTTATATATTTTTACTATAACGTAATTATTATTTCATTTATTTTTATTATATCACGATTTTATTTGACTATACATTTTTGACAAATGTTTTTATATATTTTTACTAAATATTAATTATTTTTACTATAATGTAATTATTTCATTTATTTTTATTATTTCACCATTTGATTTGACTATATATTTTAAAATAATATTATAACGAAACAAAATTCTATTTTACTATGCTTCGGCGAGATGGGTTTCGGCGAGATAGGTTTCGGCAAGATGGGTTTTCGGCGAGACGGGATTCGGCGAAATGGGTTTCGGCGAAATGGGCCCAAATCGGAGGTACTGGCGCCATCGTTGCCTCACATAAACTGATGGCTCACCCTGAATCACCTTGCTTCGAGCATCTGATACTCATCGTGTAGACATTTGAATGAATCAGCTTCCTCGAGAGGCAGCCTCGTAAATCTTGCCTCACGCATCAGATTCGAGTCGTGTAAACCCGGCTTTATGTTCAATTTCATTTGTTTGATAACAACCGACATCTTTAGTTTGTGATAAAAGTATTATGGGTAGATATACACTTACAAACACTACACGACATTGTGAGTTATGACAACCTCCCCGTTTAGTGCTGATAACAGTGACGAAGTATGTATTATAACGTACTATAGGTACAGTATGTATTATGTACTATATAACGATTTAAATTTTTTCGGGTTACCCGGTTTTCAAAACCTGTTTCAGACCGTTTTTACTCCCTGGTTGTAAGTGCTTTAGGTAGGTTTACAATTAACTCATTTTCCTATACACAAGAAGAATAAGGCATAATTTTCCTAGTTTTAGGAGATGATGGCTTTTCAGGAGATAAACTAACAATGCTATCAGGCGAAGAATCTGGCCTGACCATGATTTAGATACCTTCTTGGCATGACTCTCTTTATCTAAAAAAATGAACTGTAATTACTATAAAAGTTTTTAGATACTTTTTGTTTAACAAATATTAGTATATTTTTAATTTTAATACATTTTCGGATAGTAACTCACCATATTATAATGTAGTGATTATAGTAAATGATTTAATGGTTAACAAGTTTTACAGATGTTAGCCAGCACAGTTAGTCTACACCTATATATATATATATAATATATAACTCTCAATAAATATTTTTTTTATATGTTTAAGCATAAGTAAATTATTTATTTAGTTTATTTATTGCTTACCAATTGGGCCAGCTCTTATTACGACATCATCATTTTTCCCATCATTTTTGTTTTCTAGTACTTTTTAATCATGTTAGCAACTTGACATACTGTAAAGTAAATTTTTTTGTTATCACTCTGGATGAATTTTTTGACAGGAACTGTAGAACTTGTTAGGAACTAGTTGCACTTCATTTGTCACGTTAAATGTAACAATTAACCAGGGCCTAAAAAATGTATATATCTATATTACTATAGGAATTAAAATTTTCAATTTGTAAGATTTATATTCAGTTAAAGATATACCTAGATGTACAATTTCCTTTAAAAATGAAAACTTAATGAAATATATTGGAGCTTTTTAAGGAGTTCTGTTTAGGCAATTATTTCATTCCTGCAAATTACTGATCGTCTTTGTGGGTGTAGTAAATTATCATCAGTGTGTGTATAGTGTATACTCCTCTACCAACACCCGCGACCCCCATCAATTTACAATACATTTTTTTTATCTGGTTTATGGTCGCACGCACACACATGCAGAAGTCATTTAATATCTAGATCAAAATATTATTCAAAACCAATTTATGGACGTGAAATAGCCGTCGCACTGACAAAAATTAAGGTACATCTAGCGGTTCAATTTAAAAAATGGAAAGATGTTTGTGTTGGTAAACAAGTTTACTTTGCATCGGTCGGAGCACTTTTTCGATTTTAGCAAATTTTTGACGAGAATAAATATTTTACATTTTATAAATTTATAAATTTTTGTTATTGAATAAATTCAAAAATGTCTAAAATATAAAAAATATGCTCCAACTGATGCAAAGTAGATTAGTTGACCAATTAAAACATCTTTACATTTTTTAAATCGAACAACTAGAAGTACTTTTATTTTGTCAGTCGCTAAGGTCGTTTTGATGAAAAATTAATAGGGTTTACAGGGGCCTTAACAAGTTTGAAGCACAAGGCTTTTCAAAAACATTCTTAACTGTATTGTATTTTCTTCCAATTAGCATTATATTGCCGTCTAATTTTGATGAAGCAATATTTTCAGTAATTACCACATCATTATTCTTCATTTTAACACAATTATCAGAGCTATTAGGTATTATAACGAACCATTTCATCCTCCAACCCGTGAACTGTGGTCATTGGTCTATTTTACATTGTGCATCGATAATTGACAGGCATAAGTGAAATTTTATATTTTTGGTTTTCATCTTTAAAAAGTATTTAATCTTCGGCATACCGTCTTACTAATTGCTGAAGTGGTTTTACACCACTTTTGATTTTTTTTTATTGAAGGGTTGCATGTAGTTTTCGAATGGAAAAGCAGAAAAAGTGTCTAATGACCCATATTGTTTGGTATCATCAGCCAAATGTTGTATTATATGCATATTAGAAGATAAGTAAGATTTTCAATACAGTTTAGCAAAAGATTCAACAAAATGATTTACCATTGATTTGGCAAATTCAGTATATTCGTCTGAAATATTTGCTGTTGAAGAATTCTCATTTCTACACAGAATTCTATGAAATTCCTATAGATTTGTTGACTTAATATATCAGGAAAAATAACCATTCCAGTTCTCAATTCTGAAGCTTTTAATCGGGATGCATCATAAAGTGGATGCTTTCTGCTATTTTCATTTGGTGCTCTTTGGAATTCACATGGAATATACTTTTCCAGTGTGTTTATTTTTTTTATCTAAATTAAAAATTAAATTTTTGGGAAGAGCCAAATGATGTTTTTTAACTCCACCAATCCAAAACGTTAAAATTTTTTTCATCACTCCAATACATACACAATGCATATAATCAAATGGCATTTTATTGACCTAGTCAAATTTAGGAATGTTTGTCAGAATTGTTTCACCACAATGAAAATATTTATCAGAATAAGATATAAATTCAGTATAATTTCTCATAGAAGCAGACGAATCAGGGAAATAAACACGTTTGTTTTCATATTTGCCTATATCATGACATCTTAAACAAGAATTTTTAGCAGTGTGGTGATGTATATTGAGAACATATGCTTTAGCTGGAGAATCACATAAGATAGCTTTGAGCATTACATTAATATTATTACCTTTAATTATAGTTCCAACATAATTTAAGATACATAATTCATAGACAAAATCTTCTAAATATTCATTGCAGTCATCTGCCATAGATTTCCCATAATAAGCACCAATTATGAATACCCTAGGTTTATCAGTAAATAAATTGGTACAATAGCCAATAACGGGCTTGCTGGATTTTTTGTTATTTGTAGTCCATCCATACCAACAACTAATAGCAGTTTAGAAGGCAGATTCTGTTTTAGTTTTGTTAAATATTCTATTTCATTTTAAATTCCAAAATGATAAATCACCTTTGATATTTTTTAATACAGTTTTAATTGGTGTATGCAATAACGTGAGAGAATCTTTGAGTAAATGTTTTAAATAATGGAATTTGGATAAAGAAACTAGTAAGTCATCTAAAACTGAATGACATACATTATTCCTATTTGCCCACTTAGCAATAACTACTTCAATATCTTCATCGAGTGTATCAATTTCTGATGTATAATTGTCTTCACCTGAACTACTATGACTACTAGAACTACTTGTACTAGAACTGTGGTTCAAAATATTTTCACTATTAAAATCAAATAAATTTAAAAAAGTATTTACTTTTACTGGACTTATAGGCTGTGAATCTGCATGTAAATGTGAGTTCGATAAAGGAGGTAGTCTTTGGTTATCCTCAATGGTCACTTCATAATTAGCTGAAAATGTTGAGTCTATAATAGATGCGGCTATTTTCCTGCAATGATAATGAGTAGACTTTTATCTATAAACAAAATTTTTCTTTATGATTGTAACCAATGATTTAAAAACAAAATAAAAACACCTCTATTTATCTCATCATGAGGTGATTCGTTGACATTACTGACAAAACCAATAATCAGAAGTCGCAAAAAAAAACATGCTGTTGCATACAAATCCTAGCCCTGGTTATAGGTAAAACATTTATTATTGTTATTGCACATTTTGCAATATTAATATTTCATAAGTAATAATACAATATTTATGATACACCAGTAGTATAATATACTGTTACACTTAATACGTACATATTTTAATTAATTTAATAGTATAATATACCCAACTATAGTACAAAATATAAGTATGTTATTTTAATCAAGAAAGGCATGATCAATTATTAAATGTTGTTATTACTTATTATACTTATTATTTACTTATTATTATTATACTGTACATCACGGGGAAATTACAGCCATTGTCCACCTATTTGCTCCTCACACAAAAATATTTGCAGTACTACATCGTGCCTTTCACAAAATACTTACTGTATTTTATAATTACAGGGAGATTGCACACTCAAAATCTGTTTTGCGAAAAACGAACATACTGTGAACATACAAACAGGGCCGGTGGAAGGGGGGGGCAAACTAGGCATCGACCTAGGGCGTTTAGCTTTATGGGGCCCCGCTCTTTATGGGTTCCTAGCCAGTATCGGACTGGCTCGAAAAGACCCAGTCCGCGATTTGGAAAAAAGGGCCTCTGAACAGGCAAATGGAAAATGTTTTATTTAGCCCAGAAAAAAAAGCTCACTGCGCAATCCTATTTTCATGTGGTTACATAGAACATTTTTTTTTTTTTACAATCGCTAACTTGCATATTTATCATACAGCCATATAGGCACAAATAACTACATACGTACCTAACTAAAATTCAATCATTGAATCATTCGATATATTAACTAGTTTTACTTTATTTTCAATATAGAATTTTTATTGAGGATATTCCCAAATACTAAGACATTTTCTGCAAGTAAATTGACGAAGATAGAGACCCATCGGACTGTTTTTATTATCAGACAGGGAAAATCCTTCCTATCCAGGCATCTAACCCCCAAATTACGCCACTGGGGGGTAGCCCCTACACTGGCTATGACATCAAACATTATAAAGAAAAACACCGATTAAAATTGTGTCAAATAATATAATAATAATTAAATTACAATCAGTGATAATGCGAATACCAAGTCATACCCCTGTTCCTGTATATATATAATATAATATTATTTAAGAGGACGTTGCACCCGCATGTGTCTTTCCGTCTTACAAATGTACAACATAAAAAAACTGTTTTGCGCTGGAAGGAACTGAGAACGCTACAGTCATAACTAAGAAACAAAATTTTCCCTACATAAAAAAGAGAACTTTGGCTGTGCAATATGGTTTTTATTTTTTCGTTATCGGAACTTCAAAAAAAGTTATTGAAGTTTGAAAAACACAAATAATAATGGATTTTGAAACAATAAGCACATTTTTTGTATAAGTGATACCAAAAAAATAAAAACTATATTGCAAAGTTAAGGTTCTCCTATATATGTGGGGAAAATTTCGTTTCTTAGTTATGAGTGTTTCCTTCTCGGTTCTTTCCCGAGCCAAAACGTTTTTGCTATACCGTACGCGTGTAGACGGAGACAACATAATTTGCAGGTGCGACGTCCTCTTAATAGTCACAACAACTTTACACTATTTATAATCAATGATACGTATTTCAAATTTGTATATAGATAGCTCTTAAATTCGTAGAATGAAAATTATTATTAAGAACTTCTCAAGATTGTAAACAAATAACAATTATAATTGGTTTATTTTATATATTTATTCCAAATATATTATATAAAAAAATGGAGTTTATATAATAGTTACATGGTTATAATATTATATGTAGGATATAAATAGGGATGACTGATGAGCAAAAAAAAAAAAATGAGCAACATCAACAACAAAGATAATTTTATGAATTTATAGTAAAATACTAAAATATATCTTTTTGGTTTTCACTGTTGATTTGTAAAAGCTTTTTCTAAAAGTTGATATGTAAACTGCGGCAAAAAAAAATTTTACATTTTACAAACTGTGACAAAACTGATAAGATACATTATACAAACTGCGGCAATTTATTTTATATACCTTCTATATAGTACATACCTAGAGATGGGGGTCGTTCTCCGACAAACATAAATTTGATAACAGGATATAACCTCAAATATTCTCCATTACCAACATAATTTTTATTAAATTGGCGTTAGGGAAATTTTGTATTAAAAAGTAAACGAATTTGTAATCTGAATCGTCGAAACTTAAAAGCTCATTTTTAAGAATAAAACCGCTTAAAAAGAAAATCTTTGAAATTAAGGCCATCTAAATCCAACAATATTATAATGCTCTATTGTTTTTACTTCTGTCATTATTGTATACTCTACAAACTTAAATTTTGTATTAGATATATCTTTATTATGAATAAAATGTAAATACCATGGCTAAATACATTTATAATATGAATAAAATGTTCCACAGGGCTGGAAGTTGTTTAATATAATATTATTATATTTTATTATAAAATGTAGTTGTTCATCCAATTCCTCATTGAAATGCCACCATTTAAGTCCATCTGGTCTTTATTAATGTTTGTAATATTCTTTTAAATTTATTTTACTATTATTTATAGAACTATAATAATTGTTGAACCAACTAAATTTGATTGCATTTGTTTACAGTTATGCATTTATACTTCAGTAGTTTAAAATATAAAATGTATTGATTGTATTTGTTTAATTAATATAAAACGTTTAAATAATTATCTTCATCAAAAATATTTTTTTAGAACCAACCTATACTTAATAATGGGATTTTTTAAATTTGCAAATCAACATTTTTTTATCAATAAGTGATTCAAAATTTAATTTTAATATTAACAATTATTTTTGAAAAATAGGAATATATTTATATAGCTTACCTTGTTTACTCTTTATTTTAGTTTATTAAATTAGTTTAATATGTATTTTGTGTTTAATACGTATGGATTAGTTAGCATCAATTGTATTCAGCTATATATAATATTCGAGATCTTGAAACTCTTGAAATCTAAAAACTCTACTAAAGTATTAATAATATAAATAGATTATATAACCATATGTATGTATGAACGGGCTAAGAGCCCAATAGTACAACACAATTTGTAGTAATGAATATGAATAATATAACAATAAATAGGTAGACGCCTAACAATACACCGCGATTATATACAAATAAAAATAAAATAATAATTAAAAAAAGGTAAAAACAGTAATAGACAGTAACAACAAAATAGAACTTACTAAGAGAAGCATAGGTGCTCATTACAAATGAGTCCAAGTTTATTATATAAGTAGATCATATTGTAACGTGAACATTTAAAAAAAATCACCCTATACAATGTTACAAACATAGGTGTAAGTCCAAATGTAGTCAATAAAATCTGATCAGGAAGCATGGATTACCTCGTTAACGACAAGATAAGATGTATAGGATGTAATATATAAAATCAATTTATGTCAAGATAATATGGAGTTATTTTTGTTTAATTTATGACATTTTACTTATCTACAAAATACCATGTTAGTTTTCTTTTATTTATTATACTTCACTGCGGGAAATTTACAGAATAGTTTTATAAAACACTTTCAGTCTTATTATACATCAACTCTAGTATTGTGGTTTATATTTTGTTTGGTTAAACTCTCTAAACTTTCAGTTATACATATATCTGGGTTTTTTTTCAATATTATTATTCAATATGAATCATTTACATGACCATAATTATGTTTTACTTCTTCCCAATCTTCCAGAAGAAATTATTGTAGATGTGGATGTGGATGTAGATGTAGATGAAGAAGTTAACAGTAAGTAGGTACTAAATTTAATACATATATTTATATAAAGGTAAATATTACTTACAATTAGCAATAGCTATAAATTAAATGTTAATTATAATTATTATTTTATTTACAGTTCAAGAACATGCGACAACATACACAATAATTCCTGGTGTTAGACTTAAGTCACAAATATTTGTGGACAATTTAAACTACAGGTATTATAAAAGTAGAAGTCGAAATAACAAAATGTGAGTAGAAATAATATTATTATTATTTTAGGATTTGGTTTGTTTAGCTAGCTAGTAAAATCTTAATTTATAACTTATTTAGATACCTAGTGTGCGGAAATCAAAAAAATCGAACAGCATTTTGTCCTGTCACTGCGTATATGAATACAAATATAAATGACAATGCAATAACAGTATTAGGATTGCACTACCATGCACCT